CTGGAGCTGACCGCTCTGGTCCTGTAGGTGTTGCGCCGCATCGACCGTTTTTCTTACCACCGCCGCAATCGTCCCTGCAGCCACCTGACTCTGTGCTTCGCCAGGTTCTTAGTCTTCCATCTTTCACTTGCCTTACTCCTCCCTTACTGTGTCCACCGCCTGGCCCGTCTCAGACACAGTTACCGCCTGACTCCTTATTGCCTGCTCCTTTCCCTTACACAGAGCAGCTAGACTCCCTAACAGAGCGTCGTGAGCCCGCATCTCGTCCTGCCTCCTCTGTTCACACTGTTCGCCGTGCTCGTCGTGTTCCCCGTCCTCGTCCTCCACCTGTCCCCGGCACGCACACTATGGCACTTCGTCCTTCCTCTGTTCCACAACGTGTTACCTTGCCGTCTCCTCCAGTGTCCTCTCTTCCTTCTGTTCCTGATCCTAAGTCTGACTTGCTTCGTGCTGCCAGCCCTACTGACCCTTCTTTTGAGTCCATAGAGCCAAGTGACCCGTATCTAGAGCTTGTGGGCTGCCTCATGTACCTGATGACCTGCACTCGACCTGACCTTGCGTACCCTCTTAGCATCCTGGCACGCTACGTTGCGCCCGGGAGACACCGACCAGAGCACTGGGAGGCCGCTAAGAGGGTGTTGCGCTATTTGTGCAGTACATCGGGCATGGGGCTCGTGCTTGGAGGACAGGGTCCAGTTGTCCTCACTGGACACTCAGACGTGTCTTGGGTTGACGACCTGGCTACTCAGTGGTCATCAAAGGGTTACACTTTCAGCCTTGGCTCCGGCTCTGTTTCTTGGCGGTCTACTCGCTCGTCTTCTGTTCTCAGCTCCAGTTGTGAGGCTGAGATCTACGCAGGAGCCATGGCTGCACATGAGTTACGCTGGCTCACCTACCTGCTGATCGACTTGGGAGAGCGGCCTAGTTCTCCTCTAGTTCTGTACGTAGACAACAAGGCCGCGATTGCCTTGTGTTAGGAGCACAGACTGGAGCACAGAACAAAGCACATCGCTCTGCATTACTTCCTTGCTCGAGAGTTGTAGCAGCGTGGTCAGCTTTGTCTTGCTTACGTGGCCACTCGGGCTAACACTGCTGATATATTCACCAAGGACTTTAAGCCTGGTGATTATCAGCGTTTTTGCACTGCTCTAGGCCTTGTGCCTACTTTGTCTCACTTGCTGACTGTGTGACTTTGCTTGTACTGTGATCTATATATATATATACTTGCATGCTTACACTTGGTAGGTTGTGATTACTGTACTATTTGTTCTCTTTTATAGAACTTTGCATGTGGACTGGCCTTGTGGCCATTTGCTTGTGCTCGGACTGTGTGGTGACTTCGTGATCCACCCTGAGCTTGCTTTGCTTTTCTTGACTGGTCTTGTGACCACTTGTTCTCCCCCACTTTGCCTATGGGGGTGTGTTAAAATATGATAATGTTTGTGTTTTGTAGGCTGTAGTGGGGTAGCCCATAAGGGGTACAACCCAATTAGGGTTAGTAATTGTGCTCAGTTTTTTCTCAATGCACACATTCCGTTCAATATCTTGACAACCCTCCCTTCTGCCTGTCGCCCTCCCTTCCGCCCATTGCCCTCACTTCCGCCCGTCGCCCTCCCTGGCGCACGTTGCCATCTCTTCCGCGCGTCGCCCTCCCTTCTGCCCATCGCCCTCCCATCCGCCCGTCGCCCTCCCTTCCGCCCGTCACCCTCCCATCCAAGTGTCGCCCTCCCTTCCGCCCCTCGCCCTCCCTTCCACCCGTCACCCTCCCTTCCACCCTGCCATTCACGCCATATCGCCCTCGCCATCCCTCCCGTCTTCCTTCCCATCGCGCACACTTGTCACTCTCCCTTCCCTGCCCCCATCCCCTTACATGGTTCTCCCCATCCCCTTCTCTGCTTCCCCATGTCCCCTTCCTTGCTTTCCTCCATCCCCTTCCCTGCTTCCCCCCATCCCCTTCCCTGCTTTCCCCCATCCCCTTCCCTGCTTTCCCCCATCCCCTTCCAACCCCGAGCATACTCATGTCATTTCATCACCGAGTTGTATCCCCCAGTTTTCTTGTTGTCCCTACCCTGATTTGTTGCCCTACTTGTGTTTTTTTGAGCTATCAATTCCACCATTCCGATTGGCTGCGCTCCTTGGCAATTGACGGGTCGCAAGCTTGGTCGCCAAATCGCCTTTTGTCGAATACAAATATGTGTGGCGAACATGTGTATTGCTTCGCCAGGGTACTCTCAACCAAAACAGTTCTCGCTACTCTTCCAGCTAGTGTTGAAAACCCTAGAAACAAAAAACGCTTTGCCATGCTGACCTCGGGCTTTCTGTTCAGAGATTTCAAATGAGTGTAAAATGATTGTTTAAGCAAGTGAAGGAGAGTTCTTCCCAACAACCAAATGTTTGAAGTATAGACTGGTAGTATGATTATGTTAGTCCAGCACAACACTACACAACCACCAGCTGAATATATTTTGTGGTCAAACACTGTCGAACGGCAGCCTGAGTAAAGTGCTCGAGTTTGCTCTTCCCAACCTGCCAACTCCACCTGAAACATACCGAAATATATGTTAATATCAGTAGATCTGCATCGTGAGATCCCCTATTGATCCTTGGGGGGTCACAGACGTGTTCGCTAGAGGGTTATGGGCGCACGGACCCGCGACACAACCCTTTTGTCCAAGTGGTCTAGTGGCTGGGATTCTGACATGGTATCAGAGCGGTCTCGGGTTCAAATCTCGGTGTTTGAACATGGAGGCAGGTGCTGCTGTGCTCAGTCCTGAGCCTCCTAGTGCGGAGGGGTGTTAGTAGATCTGCAGTGTGAGATCCCCGATTGATCCTTGGGGGGTTACAGGCGTAACCGCCTGTGTGGTTATGGGTGCACGGGCGCGCTACCCAAACAAGCCCTTTTATTCCAGTGGTCTAGTGGCTGGGAATTCCAGCAGTTACCATATGTTACGATATGAGATTTGACAAGGCATTCCTGTACGCTGCAGGAGCCAACCTTATCGAGTACGAAGTCGGAAAGTCAGAAGAGTCAAAGCGACACCAGAAACAAGAGCAAGATCGATGCAGGCAGTTAATGCATCTGAAATGGAAAGAGCGGGAACAAGTTTGAAAGAGGTTCCCGCGCCTCACATTTTGAATTTGACTGCAATAAGGGAATGTACCCTTTAGAGTACATGGCTAGACTAGGTCTTTTCGTATTCCCTGTGTTTCCTATATAAACTCAATGTATGCATGCTTTTTATCATCTCACTCATTTTACTTTCACTCTGACCTGAGGTTAACACTTCCGCTGCAAAAATATCTGCGAACAACCCTGAGCCGATCCCTGGCAAAAGTCATGTTTAGGATTGTAACATGGTATGAGAGCTACTCAGGGATTCTTCGCAACCTTACTTCCGTAAAATTCGCCCAACCTCAACTGGCGAGCGGCACAGTCTCCAAGACCAAGATGACCAGAGGATCCGGAGGCCAAACAAATCCAACAGCTGAAGGACAAGCCAACCCAACCGCGACAAATGAGGCGACAACGACGATCAGCACTTCCGCACTTGAGCAGTTATTTTCGTAGCTATCAACTTTAGAGAAAGAACTCCAAGCCTTGCGAAATGGCGACGCGGGAACCTTTTCCCAACCAGCACAACCTGGTCAACCGGCTGCGAAAAGCCAAGATACCGCCCCGCACACCTTCTCCCTCGACACAGACAAATCAGTATCAACTGCCCCCCGTCCAAGTGATGAAGCTATCAACTCAGCGCAAGTACGTTTTCTTAGCGTTTCAAAAATTAGGATTGCCACCGCGTTTGATGACAAGGATTTTTACGCATAGAGTTTTGAGCTAGAGCGCCTACAGACAGCGTATATATACCACTACTTCGACGACTCCTACCCCAAACCGGTGGAAGACACCGAAGACGCCCAGGCTCAGTACTACAACGAATCCCTTATGGCGTACAGCGTACCACTACGCAACATGACACCTGCGGAGCAACTCGGCATCCGCTCCTACAAAGAGAGTGCAGCTCCAACCTTGGAAGCCTGGAAGCACCTCATCGAGGTATACCAGCCGAAGGACTCAGTCACCTTCAGCAGACTCCTGCAGCAACTCATGGAGACAAAGATGGGGCACGAGGAGAAGGCAAATTCATATTATAACCGCTGTCGGAACATTCGTGACCAAATCAAGAACCGTAGAAGTGCAATTTCGGAGGAGATCTTCATCAGCATCATCCTCCAAGGACTTGGGCCTGAATGGAAGCCCTGCAAGGCGCTACTGACAATGAAGGGTTATTTTGGAAGCTGCTCTATGTGCCGCTCTCCTCACCGAACAAGACATGGACTCGAGCAGAACAAGCTCCGTGCCACGACGAGAGTGCATCGCCTTCAACGCTGACAGCCGAGAAGAGCGAAGACAACCCAGGCGCCACTACTGCAAAATTTGCAAAATGTTTGGACACTCAACAAATCGATGCAAATTCCGATCTAGCAACCGCCACCCAAACTCCACTCACCACAACAACAACTGGGGTGGCTGACAAGACACTCGTAATTTCCAACCTCAGCACCAAGCTCCTCGCCCTCCTGCACAACAACAACAGCAACAGCAGACTCAAGCATCTCAAGCAGGAGCTACCAGGAACATAATCGCCAACATGGCGACTCGGCGTCGCCCACGAGCTGCGTCACCACACGAAGAAGAGGAACCTCGCAGCGAGACCATCCAACCTGAAGAAGGGTGGAACAATCCCTTCACAGAACGTCACTACTACTACGAAGACAAGGAGGAGCAAGACTAGCACCAGCCAATACAACTGCGAGAAATTCCACCCCACGATCACCAATGCTTTGTTCCTATGGGATGGAGAGAGGATGAACCATATGAGTGACGCTACAAGGCGACTATTGTTACACCGCGGCTCGCACTGCTTTTGCGCAACAACTAGGACAACAACAATATTGTCAAACATATGTGTATGTGTATGTTATTCTGATAGGCATTAGTGATGCTAGCTATAGGGGGTACAACACTTTTAAGTTTCCTTCTTGTACTCCCCTTCCTTGCCAATCTCGACACTCGTGTTTCCACATTCTAACATGGTATCAGAGCACATATTTTCACCAGCTTAAGACGCCAAAGCGCTTTACGACGTTGTAATAAAACGCTATTCCTCCCCCTCTTTCGCCACAATAGGCCGCCTTGTGCTGCAGTTCCTCTTTCCTGAGCTCGCCGACTTCACCACTGTAGCCGACCTCATCACGCACCTGTGCTCTCTTGACACCCGGTATTGTGCTGCTCTAAATGCCGACTTTCTGGCCGATAACAATCCCCCCATGTATCTCACCCTCTACCTTCTCACGACTCGCCTCCCTGACACGCTTTGTGCTGTTCGTGATCACTTCCTCTCTCTCGACCCCACTTAAGTCTCCATAGACTCGTTTGAGAAGCGCCTCGTAGAGGCTGGGTTTGCTGCCCTCGCTGTAGGTGCCTCCCGTGGCACTCCCCTCCCCTCCGTCTTTGAAGGGTGCTCCCCCTCCCTGCTCGTGTCCTCTGTTGCCTCTGCTGCTGCCGTCGACTTCCTTGGTGCTGAGGTTGGTGCTGTGTCTGCTCCTACTGGGAGGCGCAAGAGTGGTAACGCCAACTAGGGGGGGCAAGGGTGGGGGTGGAGGGGGAGGTGGGGGTGGCGATGGTAGTGGTGGGGGAGGCCGTAGTGGAGGTGGTGGGGGAGGAGGAGGCGGTGGTGGCAGTGGAGGTGGAGGGGGTGGTGGGAGCTGTGGGGGTGGTGGAGGGGGCGGGGGTGGCACTCGGGTTGGAACTGGAGGCTCGACTACGCGCATTGCTACGTCTAGTGGTGCAGCCGGTGGTGGAGGCGTCTCTGGGGGTGGACAGCTACAGCGCTCGCCGCAGCAGCTTCGTGAGTGGGCAGTCAGGCGTGGCAGCTCGGGTGGCCCAGCTCGCTGTGGGTACATCCGTCGCACAGGCCAGCCTGGCGCGGCTTGCACCCGCACTGATCACACGGAGCCTCGCTGCTTCTTTCGCCTCGACGACCTATATCGTGCTAAGCATGGTGAGCAGATGAAGACTCCAGACTGGTTAGCTTTGTTGAAGAAGGACATTGATGTCTTTGCCTGTGATTGGGATGTTATCCATGCTGGCATGCATGCGATGTATGCTGCTTCTGCTAGTGTTGAGGGGGACTATTACTCGTGTGTGCCCAGAGTTGCTAGGGTATAGGCTGCTAGTCTTGGTGCCTTTGACTCAGCTAGCATAGGTGCAGAGTTTGAGGAGGCCTGCACACTTTTACTCTCGACTCAAATGCGTCTCGTTGCTTCTTTCGCGACAGCACCACAATCACACCGCTCACAGTCCTTGTCCCTGTCACACTGGCCGACCCCTCCGGGAGCCCAGTAGTCACGCGTGGCGCCAGTGTTCTCCCTTGTCCGGCGGCCCCTTCCGGCCTCCTCACAGGTCTCCACCTCCTCTCGTTTGCTAAAAATTTGGTGGCTACCTCTGTCCTCCAAAACCAGTGGGTCACTGCCACCCAGCCTGGAGGCGAGCTCGTGGCGAACTGTACGGACTCGCGCACTGGTGAGCACCTCACCACGTTCACTCGGAGGCCTGGGTCGAGCCTGTACACACTGACCACTGAGTTTGCTTTGGTATCAGAGCACCTGTCTCTGGCACGCACACCATGGCACTTCGTCCTTCCTCCGTTCCACAGCGTGTTGTCCTGCCGTCGCCTCCCGCGTCTTCTCTTCCTTACGTTCCTGACCCTGAGCCAAACCTTGTCCGTGCTGCCAGTCCGACTGTCACTTGTCTTCTCGCCACTGTTGTCACTGACCCTTCCTTTGAGTCTGCTGCTGCGTCTGCCTTAGTTGCTGAGCTTGTTGACTTTGCTGCTTTGTGCCACCTTGACTACGCTACGAGTCTTGTTTTGACTCTTCCTGTCCTTCGTCCGTTGGGGGTGAGCTTGCCCTTGGCTATGACATCCTTGAGGACAGGCAGTATGAGCTGCTGCACCTCATCTCACGTCCACGCTACTTTGCCCTGAGGGGGACCTGGATGAACTGGACATCCCGACCCCGCGTTCTTACGCAGATGCGATCACGGGTCCGTACTCCTCTCAGTGGCAAACAGCCATGGACGCAGAGATGGCTTCGTGGAAGTCCACAGGCACCTACGTCGATGCAGTTCCTCCACCTGGGGCGAACATAGTTGATGGCATGTGGATTTTCAGGGTGAAGCGGACACTGGGTACTCCGCCTGCCTTCAAGGCCCGTTACGTTGCACGGGGCTTCAGTCAGCGTGAGGGGGTCGACTTCTTCCAGGCCTTCTCCCCCACCCCGAAGATGACCAGTCTTCGGGTGCTACTGCATATTGCAGCACAGCGTGACTACAAGCTGCACTCCCTCGACTTCTCGACAGCTTTTTCTTGCAGGGCAGCCTTCACGAGGCTATCTGGTTGCGCTGCCCATCTGGCTTCACTGGGTCATTTCTTGAGGGTACCCAGTAGAGCGTGCGGCGAACAGTCGACGGTCTTCGTCAGGCGCCACGTAAGTGGCACGACACACTGAGGACGACACTTGCGGCTCTTGGTTTCGCTCCCTCGACTGCCGACCCTTCACTGTTTCTGTGTACAGAGACTTTTCTGCCGCCCTTCTACGTTCTTGTGTACGTCGATCACTTGGTCTTTGCTACTACTGACACTGAGGCACTGGCCCTTGTGAAGTCGAAGCTGCAGAAGAGACACACCTGCACTGCCCTTGGTGAGCTCCGCAGCTATCTTGGCCGGCAGATCACCCAGGACAGAGCACGACCCACCATTACTCTGACTCAGTCACACATGGTGCTGCAGGTCCTTCCGCAGTTCAGCTTCCAGTTCTCCTCGCCACAGCCCACTCCTCTGCCTACGGGCCACTCGCTCTCAGCTCCACCTTTGGACGAGTCCGTAGAGCCGAGTGGTCCGTATCCAGAGCTTGTAGATTGCCTCATGTACTTGATGACGTGCACTTGCACTCGACCTGACCTCGCATACCCTCTCAGCCTTCTACCTTGCTCCGTGGCTCTTTGTAGACACCAAAAGGTGCACTGGGATGCTGCGAAGAGGGTACTGCGTTACTTGTGCAGTACATCGGGCATGGGGCTTGTGCTTGGAGGACAGGGTTCAGTTGTTCTCACCGGTCACTCAGAGGCTTCTTGAGCTGACGACCAGACAACTCACCGGTCAATATAGGGATACGGTTCCAGCCTCGGAGCTGGTTCTGTCTCGTGGAGGTCCACTCGCTCGTCTTCTGTACTTAGTTTCAGTTGTAAGGCCGAGATCTACGCTGGGGCTATGGCTGCACAGGAGCTCCGCTGGCTGACCTACCTGCTGACCGACTTGGGAGAGCGACCTCGTTCTCCTCCAGTTCTGTACGTCAACAACAACTCCATGATTGCCTTGCGTCAGGACTAGAGACTGGAGCACAGAACAAAGCACATTGCTTCTTCACGCGAGAGCTGCAGCAGCGTGGTCAACTTCGTCTTGCGTACGTGGTCACACAGGCCAACACTGCTGATGTCTTCACCAAGGCCCCTGGTTCTAGTGATCATCAGCGTTTCTGCACTGCTCTTGGGCTTGTGCCCACTCTGCCTCACCTGCTTGTCTCTTGATCTTGCTTTGTGGTTTGATATATGAACCTGCATGCTTCACGTTGCTAGGTTGTAAGCATTGTATTATTTGTGTTATTATCAAACTGCATGTGAACTGGCCGTGTGGCCGCTTGGTTGTGCTTAAAATGTGTGGTGATCTTAAAATCCACCCTGAGCTTTGCTTTGCTTTGCTTCTTCTCTTGACTGGTCTTGTGACCCTTTGTTGGTCTTGCTATCTCTCACTTTGCCTATGGGGGTGTGTCAAACAAATGCGTATGTGTATGTGATTCTTATAGGCCATAGTTATAGGGGATACAACACTTTTAGGTTTCCTTCTTGTACTCCCCTTCCTTGCTAATCTCGACACTTGTGTTTCCACATTCTAACAAATTCCTGGTACCTGGACAGCTGCTGTGGTCAACACGAGGTGGGATCTGTTCGTTACATCTCGAACATCAGCCGCGCACCTGCCACCTACGTCACTGTCGCCAACAACGAGCAACTACGCGCCAGCGCGCAAGGCATCGTGGTACTGCAAGCTCGAGATAGCAACACCTACATCTCCTTCAATTACGTGCTCGACATGCTGGATCTGCGCTTCAGCCTGCTGTCCACGGGACAACTTAGAGACTGTGGAGTCATGCTCACTACGGACCCATACACGCACGACCTCATCCTCACATATGCTCCTCCGGACACCCCCGCCGAGCTGCACAAATACCTCGGGAGAGCTTGCTCACTTAACGGTGTCTATGTTGTCGACTTCGACATACCCAACTGCCAGGCATCATCAGACGAGCTTGTGGATCTCGTCCCTCTAGATTTCCCACACATGAATGAGGAGTCATGGCAGCACCCGGATGGACGCCCCTGGATCCGCCGCAGCCCTCACCCTCGTGAGATCAATTTGCACCAACCCGGCCCCGACGGACTTTGCACCACCTGCTTCACACCCACGGCAAGCCGCACAGAAGAAGTTGAGAGAGACCTCGTGGCAATCCAAGACGCAGAAAGCGCCGAGGCAGAACCTGAAGACATGACAGAGAGGAGCTGGCTGTCACCACTCATCGCATCTTCGATACATGAGACAAGAACCTCGGAATTCAACAGCAGGCACGGCCTACAGCCGCCTCAGACACTCTCCGCTCGGTCCTGGAAGCAACCACCAGAACCTTCGACGAAGAAAACCGATCTCGCCCTTAGCCCCGCGAGGTTTACCGTCACATCAACACAGAGTGGAAAGACCCTGAGAAACCTGAAGAACTCAGCATCAAGGAGGAAGAAGAAAAAGCAGAAGCTGAGAGAAGGGAAAAACTGTACCAACGGCAGGATGGGACGAAGAGTCCGCACGACGTGGCGGGTAGAGAGATGATGATAATACGGGGACAACATGGGGATCCGCAGCCAGCGCATCAGGAACTGGAGGCTGGGCAGAAGCAAGTGACCAGCAACTCACCGAAGAGGAACTCACCCAAGAAGAACTCCACGAAGCAAAACGCAAGATAGCATAACAAGGACCATCACCCAGGGTTGCAATCCCTCTCGGCCGCAGCCCGCGTACACCCCCCCCCCCCCCCCCCCTGCTCATCTCACATCTGGAAGGATCCCTGGTCAAAGATTGAGGAGGGGAATGTATCAGAGACACCACCTCGCGACTCGCTTGGGCCAATCTCCTGCCCAGATCCGTTCGTAGCTTTATTGAAAGAACCAGGACTCCACTCAACATCATCCCCGATCGCAACTTCCTCGCACTCTACCTCACGACAGCACCTGCAGAAGGGGAGACAATAGTAGAACCAGAATTGGAGGAGCAGGACAACAGGGCAGAGCCCAGAGAAGAAGAAGGACCAGTGCTCCTCATCCCCCACGAAACAGAAGCTGAAATGGCGGAGCATCACGCACGATACCTGTGCTCCTCGGGAATTCACGCCGACGATAATCTCTGGCACCAACGACTCGGTCATCCCTCGTGCCAGACATTCAACAACTACCTCTGCGCCAAAGTCTTCCTGCCTGGAGCATTGCTGCGATCCAACAGCACAGAACCCCTCAGCACAACACATCCAACCACCTGCACCGTTTGCCCCACTGCTGCTCTCACGCACCAAGCTTATCCATCACTGGAGCCGAGCACCAACCGCTACAAGAAGCTGCAGAAAGTCTACAGCGACTACATCGTGCTTACCTCCGAAGGGATCAGCGGCAAAAACCACCTGTTCACCTTGGAAGACGCGTACTCACGCTACGTCTGGATTGCAAACGTAGACGTCCGCTCCAAGGCACCCGAAATCTTCCGCATCTGGCTCGCTCACGCACAACAGGAATCAAAGAGGAAGCTGGAAATCTGGCAGACTGATGGCACCAAGGAATTTCGCAGCAACGAACTGGAATGACTACTTGCGGAAAACTTCGCTTCCTTACGCCCACCAACAGCAAGGCGTCGCGAAAAGGGTCAATCGCACCCTCATGATCAAGGTCCGTGCCCTCATGAACCAGTCCGGCCTACCCAAGACATACTGGCCGTACGCCATGAACCACGCTGTGCGCCTGCACAACCTACTCTCCACCACCGCCAACAAGGGCAAACTTTCTCCGCACATGAA